CTCCCTAACGAGACAGGAAACAAACTGGGCTGGGGTGATGCCCACCCAGGAAACAGGGAATTGAAGAGTTTAGTTCTGCCTCCCTGAACAATTTGTGGGAATCACCCATACCAAGACACCCTCCTCTTCAGAGTGAGAAGATTCTCTTATGTATGTATTCAAGGTTCATCATGAAATTCCCTACCATTTTCAGAAACTCTTTAGAGGAAGCAATACACTTTTCCATTTCAGATCAGTTCAGACTACATGAACTGGAGTTTGTCTGCACCAGGTACAAGCCTCCTTAAGGGAGCATCATAAGCAGATCTACTCAGAAGTCAAACCCACTGTGTTTAGTAGAGATTACTCCCAGGAAATTGTTCTTAACATTACTGCCTAGATGTCAGCTCACATTCCCTCCCTACTTCCACTGGTCGAAAGGCCAAGATTGAACATACAAGTCTTTCAGCTAACTCCAAATACTACCAATTATCATAGCAATGATCCCCCATAACTGGATTCTTAACCAGGATTAAATAAGAAATAAGAATCCTAGATGTCACAATATACTAGAATTAAGTGAAGACTTGCCACATGCAACACACCAGGAGGAAATCTATATTTTGTCTTTAAATTATGTGTTGTGATTCAACTCTGCATTTTTTCAGTTGATGAAGCAGTTTTATGAATGTCCCCCAACTACTTAAAATCCACTTCCAAAACAGCATATATAATAACACTTCAGGATTTTTCCATTCCTCAAGAAGAAGGGGAAAACACTAGCACAGATACTGCTCATAATATGGAAAAAAAACTTTAGTAAAGTTTCTCTATAACCATGCCATACCTCCACCTGAAATAAGCCATGAAACTTTTGACCTTCATAAAAGACCAAATCTAGATCAGCTAACTCACCTAATACACAAAACTAGAAAATACCCACAATCAAGTGCATCAAGTGAAACCCCTGCAATTAGGATCCATAAAAGATCTGCAATCAAGAAGATAAGATGGGTGGTGAACAAACAGTCAAGTCAAGGAAGGCAAATTCAAGCCAAGGACAAGAAAATGTTCCAGGGGTATGTTTACAGAGCCATCTTTCTTTAAGTATATAGCAGCATATCCAATCACTTTGCACAAAACTGCAGCCTGAACAGTGGTGTGTCATTCTTCATAGAACTCCTGTATAGCAGGGTTCCTTATCCTGCAACCAGGACCCAGAACAGCAGAAAATAAAATATATTGATAATGTTAGCCTATCAGCATAAATAGAAACATTTAATGCACAAATCAGCAACAAGGTAGGAAACCTTTAAATGTTATCATTGTCATGCTGAATGAAGCTGCTTTTCTGTGAATACTCCTCTCTCACTAACTCCTGTGGTACCTCTGCGGAAACTGACAGCCTCCCATGGCTGCTTTTCTTTTTTTTTTTAAGGACATGAGTAGACTGTTCCTAGATCTCCTAAATCAGATAAGCAGGGGTCATTTCCTGCAGGAGCGCACAGGAGCGGAGCTCCGGCAGTAAAGAGCCCACGGGGCGGGCACATGCAACAAGCTCCACCCCCTGCTCCCAGCAGCCCTCAGTCAGAGCAAGAAGCAGCCAGGTAAGTTCCAGAGCTCCCCCCCGGGGCCCCAGTCCAAAACAGTCCAGTGGCACCTTTAAGACCAAGTTTTATTCAGGTACAAGCTCTCCCTCCTCTGCAAGGACAGATCTGTACATTCCCCTCCCCCCAACAGCTAGCAATCCAAAACAGTCCAGTGGAGCCTGAGCAGTGGGTGTTGCCTTCTAACACACTTCCGGTGATGTCAGGGGGTGTGTCGTATGCAAATAAGTTATGCTAATAAGCTCCTGCACCTCTTTTTCTACGAAATGACCCCTGCAGATAAGTACTAATATTCTCCCAGTCAGCTGAAATGCAAATGCTGTGAAAACAGCAGTGACCCAAGGCTTCCTAATAAGTCCATGGCTAAAGCAAAACTGGAACGGAAGGCTTCCTGGCTAACAGCTCCGGCTGGTAGCTACTATATTCCACAGGTCACAACGACCAATACTAGATAAACGTTATAATTAAAACCAATTCTTTTTTGCCAAAAGGCCCACAGCACCTGAGAGAATACGCATAAAGGAAACCACATTTCCCACACAGAATTTGGCACCAAGGACAGCACGGTACATAAAATCTATTCCAGGATGGGTAAAGACAATGATTTTAGTTTAGTAATACTTCAAGACTATGAGAAGCCCACACTGCTGGGCAGGATATATCTGTACACCTGTTCTTTTGACAAAAAGCCACATGTCCACTCTTGCTTATTACACTTTATCTATTCAACAGAGCCAGTGTGGTATAGTGGTTAAGAGTGGTGGACTGTAATCTGGAGAACCAATTTGATTCTCCATTCCTCCACATGAAACCAGCTGGGTGACACTGGGTCAGTCACAGTTCTCTCAGAGCTCTCTCAAGCCCACCTACCTCACAGGGTGTCCGTTGTGGGGAGAGGTACGGAAGATGATCATAAGCCGCTTTGAGACTCCTTTGGGTAGAGAAAAGCAGGGTAAAAAAACCCACTTCTTCTACTCTTCTTCTTCTACATAACCAGCCACAGATATCATCTTTCCTTCCCCCTCAGCTAAAACAGAATTCTAAACTAGAACTTCATTTCTGCTTCTGTGCTATAAGAATTCTAATATTTCAAACAGTTCTTTTCCACAACATTAAGAGACAGAAAGACATATTTTATTCGGAGGAAAGGGGGAGGGAAATAATTTGCAACCATCACCCAATCCGAATTAAATCTGCAACATTTAGTTAATCTATGAAAAATCTCTGGCTCAATTAATTAGGCTCAACTATTTTAATCAGGCAGCAGCTTTTTTTTTTCATCTTAAAAGTTACTGTTGATGTAAATATAAGCCCACAGGTGGCAGGCACCTTCCTAAAAGAACAGTCTTGTGACAAATGTGAAAACTAATTAATTTATCGTGATGTAAGCTTTTGTGGGGGAGACTGTGGTGGCTCAAGTGGTTAAGACGCTGAACTGCAGGCTGTGGAAGGTCAGTAGTTCAGCAGTTCGAGACCCGAGTTGCCGCATGACGGAGTGAGCTCCGGTCTCCAGTTCCAGCTCCTGCCAACCTAGCAGTTCGAAAGCAAGAAATTGCAAGTAGATAAATGGGTACCACTTTGGTGGGAAGGTAACAGCGTTCCGTGCACCTTGGTGTTTAGTCATGCTGGCCACATGACCACGGAAACGTCTTCGGACAGCGCTGGCTCTTCGGCTTTGAAACGGAGATGAGCACCGCAAACCTAGAGTCGGACTCGACTGGCTTTCGAGCAAGGGAACCTTTACCTTTACTTTTTAAGCTTTTGTGAGCCAGAGCCACAGTAACACATTTGTCTTTTAGGTTTCACAAGACCAACACAGCAACCAATCTGGACTGTTTTTAAAACTCATTCCACTTTCTCCTCCTCTTTCAAATGCCCCTTCTAAGATGCTACCTGCTGTAATGCACAGTTGCGTCCTCCAATGTTATTTACTTTAGAACTTTTTTTCCAAATCCAAATCCACACAGATTATAATCCATACAACTAATCAGACAAGGTTTCCTTAACAGAATGACAAGGCTTAACCTAATTAATTTACAGGGACGGTCTGCAGATTTTAACAGAATGACAAGGCTTAAGATATCCATAGGCAATAGCAATCCAAATGGGTTTAGAGAAAAAACAACAGACCATAGGATACAGGAATCTCCCAGGCTTTACAGGACAGTTTGGTCCTGCATAGTCAATTTATGGCAAACCCGTGGGGCTTTCAAGGTTAAGAGCCGGTCAGAGGTGGTTTTCCATTGCCTTCGTCTGCACAGTGACCCTGGAATTCCTAGTTCAGTGGTGGCGAACCTATGGCACGGGTGCCAGAGGTGGCACTCAGAGCCCTCTCTGTGGGCACGCGTGCCATCGCCCCAGCCAGGCCCAGATCATCATTAAAGTGTCGAATTCTCTACCAAATAATTTTAAGTAAATGAAAGCATTTGGGATTGCTTTCGTTACTTTGTTTGGATCATCTTAAGTTAATGTATGAGTGGGTTTTTTCTAAAGTAAAACCTCAGTATTCAGGTTAAATTGCCGTGTTGGCACTTTGCGATAAATAAGTGGGTTTTGGGTCGCAGTTTGGGCACTCGGTCTCTAAAAGGTTTGCCATCACTGTCCTAGGTGGTTCCATCGAAATACTAACGAAACCAGGAGCTATCCTACTTAGCTTCCCAGCCCTAAGGAGATCAGGCTAGGCTGGGCCATCCAAGTCTGGACTGAGCAGTCTACAGGATGCAAAGTGCTTTCTTTTAAAAGGGCACAAGATATCTAAGTCAACAGAACTGCTATACAGGAGAGAGAAAGACGCAAGTCTAAGAACCGAAAGCCCTCACGAGTTCACAAATTATGTACAGGGGCCGGGCTCAGAAATGAAGGAGAACAGGAAGGCATAAAATTGGCAGCGGGCCTCAGAGCTCCAGATGGGATGGGGGTGGGGGCGGGAAAGGCAGGCATGGGCAGCGTCAGGAGGCAGCCAAGGGGCAGGAAAACACAAGCGTCTCCTTCGAGAGGAAACGCGCCTTCCAACGTGAACTGGAGCGAAACAACAGCCGCTCCACACCCCACCCTTCTGTCTCGCGGGCCTCTCTTGAATCCGCTTTCCAATCCTCCTCCTCCTCAATGACCAGAGCTGCAGAGTCTGGGGCTTATTCCTTAGAAGACAGACTTTGCATGTGTTGGTTCCCCCAGGGCAGCCAAGGGAGACAGACAATGAGCCCCGAGCGAGCCGGTTTCCTGAGCAGGGGGGCTGGGCAGAGGAAAGAACAGTAACTACAGGAGGCGCTTGGGCCAGCCTTAAAGGGGCCGTTAAACCAGGGAAGTTGTGCGGCTCCCAGCCAGCCGACTTGGAAGTTCACAGTGAAGCGCAACAAGCGGGATCCCGAGGAAGCCGACAGAGGAGAGACAGAGAGAGGAGGAAGGCTCGCTCACCCACGCCGTATTTCTCTTCCCGCTTGGTGGGCACCCAGCGCGTCATGGCGCAGGGGAGGTCGAGCCCTGCCAGGCGACACCGGCAACTGCCAAAACCGGGATGCGCACGGCTACGAGCCTAAGAAGCCGCCATTTTCCAGCCTTAGTAGCAGCCGCTACGGGACAAGAAGGAGGAAAAAGTTTGCAGTCAACGGAGAAGTCATGTGGTGCAGGCGGAGCCAGGGGCTGCAAGGTCCTCCCAGTCACTCGATGCCTGATAGGAAGCCTCGAGAGTGGGAGTCGAGGTTCGGCAGCCGCGGAGGGAAGA